CTTCCCTCTTGATTACTCACATCTCAACGCGACCTATTAAATCGCTCGCCTTCTCAATGTGTAACTTTACACCGACTGCGACGGTTTGATGAAATTCTAGAGATCGACCGGCATAGGTTTTCTTGGAAGAATTCAGTTAGAATCCATGTCCCCCACCAGATTTTTACTTAAATACCTCGCTTCATACTTCCTTTTATTGTTAGTAGACGTAAACGAAAGCACCATTTCCTACAGTGAGTGTCGCCATAATACTCCACGTCGGCCATGATTGGTTTAGCCAAATTACCGGATGTTTCTATGGTTACATATAATGTTAATTCATCACCATGGTTTCCAACTTAATTTTTACCAATCGGGTGTGTTTGGTCAAAACAAGGCGGAGCCCAATCGTCATGTGCATCGAAAATTAAAAGTAGGCAATACACAATACAACAATACAATAGTATGCATCCTCGATCCAATAAAAAAATTAGACACTTTTCTGTCGCCATTGTCTATAAAGTCCCTCTAGGTACTTTCCTTTACAGCGATTGTAGGCGTGTCTAATTTTTGATTGGTTTAAGCTACAATTATTGAGACAATGAAAAATCCTCAATTCTCCAGAATTGATACGAGTTCTTGGTTTGTTATGGTCAAATTACACATGTTACATCTGCATCTCTTTAGTAATTTACTTCGGATCCTGAATTTAACAGGTTGTTGCAGTTGACAGGTCCATGTTTGCTCTTTAACAGGACAAGCACAGTACTGAGGATAACAAGTTACATCGCTACTCACCTGGCCTTGCACTGCAGCAGGTGCATACTCATAGAGTAGGGAGTTGTGTTTTCTCTGGCAGAAGGGTCAAATCCGATTTGGGCAATACTATGCTGCATGGTTCGGCTTGAAGCAATGAATGCACAAGAAAAGATTCACCACTTGGGAAATTCTGTTCTGCTCGCTGGATTCTTTCTTCTCCCTAATCTCAATAGTTTCCAGGACAGGAGCCCTCTTCTGAAAAAAGTTCAGAAATTTATCGAGTGTCAAGGGCTTAGAATTTCGCAAAATTGGACCCAGGTCTTTGGAGATTACAGATTGAGAAGCGGGAAATTTCTTGATCCTTAATCTTCTTGGTTTCAAGCTATTATGCATACTGTCAATTTCTTCAATAATTTCAGTCCCCCAAATCTTAGCATTGCAATGTCGATGTTTGGAGAAGCTACACAATATTATGAAAGCGTTGACGTCAGGACAGTTTCAGGGAATTGATAAGGCGCCTTAAAGTTAAAAACAGAACAGTAAATCTTAAGCATGACCAGTTCCAGTAAATCTAGTTACATGTGTACACTACAAAAATAACTCTCACAGGTACACTAAACGCTCGGATGATGAAATCCATTAGTCAATAAGAGACCCAAAATGGATTCTTGCGATTTTTCACTTTTTGAAAGGTTCCTTTGCACACATAGGACTTTCGAGAAGCATATCTAGGACGGTCTGAGGGGAATCGGGGTAAGGGGCGGGAGGATGCTTATTAATAAAGCATAGGGAATCGTTGGGTACCGTTCTGTAAGCCCCCAAGGGACTGTAGCGGGTTCGGTTTCCTGACTACGTGAAAATGCCTGAGTCTGTCAGGGTCTCCAGGGGTCGATATCAATTCCTTAAGGCTTAGGGTTTCGGCACCAAAGGCAAGTTAAGAGAGACCGGATAAGTGAGGGCCGAGCCCGGACGACGTGGCTTGAAGGGACCCTCCTCTGCCGCCGGCGCCGGGGAGCGAAAGAGGGAGGTTGGTCGCAACAGGGTCACTGCTGCAAACACTACTCGGACGCACACACTTTTGTGGTACACAGGAAACTTACTACTGCTAGACAAACTTCCTGTCTGTGCTTCGTGGTTTCGAAAAGTAAACCCACTCTATTTGGTGGCGCAAAGAGCCGTAACGTGAGTCTACAATTCGAAATAGTACGTTTTACGTTGACGTTGCTTAAGATTTATTGCTCTGTTTTTAATATTAAGGTGTACCTTATCCATTATTTCCTTGAAACTGAGTCCTGACGTCACATATTTCATAATATTTGGTACCTACTGATTTAGCCTGCTTCGCTTTTTATAAGCTGATAGTAGGTATTTAAAAATTCTAGGAACTGAACCATAAATTAATTGTGTAGCTTGTCCAAACATCAACGCGAAATTATTTAAGAACTATAATCACTTGGAGGAAATAATGAAGAGTGTGGGGGCGCTTCTCAATCTGACCCCTGACCCAACATTTGTGTCGTTTGAGGTTTTATGGGTACTTTAACCTCCAGGATCCTTGTAAAAATGTTCTAATGACATTTCATAATCGAATGAAAAATTCTCACACCCAATCATTTAAAAACTAACAAATTGAGCAATGAAAACAGTGAAAATGTGCTCAACCTTGAATTCCAAGCGTACGACGAATAAACTTCTTGGTTAGAAACGTACCTACCTACTTGGTTTTCCACCATCGTCTCTCAAACTAACGCTGATCTTTGCCCTGCTCTTAGTTTCAACGCATCTAAGTACCTGCAAGAAGAAGAAGACAACAAAAGAAAATCAAAAGATAACGTGACAAATAAAGAAAGGGAGAGAATTGATTAACTTCGTAAGGTAGTACATCCTCAACGGAAACGTGAAAAGAGACGAAGAGGGAGAATATACATACATAGGAAGCAGAGGGCAGTCGGTAATAAACTATATTATTCTAAATGAAAAAGGGAAAGAACACACAAAATTTTCAAGTAGAGCAAAGAATAGAATCCGATCACCAACCAATATTCACAACGATGAAAGGCACAATACAGAAAACAAAAAAAAAGAAATTACAAAAACGAGACAAATCTGGATAGAACAAACAATAGAAAAATATAGAAAACATCTAAAGCAGATAGAATTCAGAGAAACTGAACGTGATGTTGCATTAGGAGGCAATAACTAAAGCGGTGATAGAAAAAGCATGAAAAATAAACAACTGGACACCAGGAAGAAGCAAGTGGTGGGACGCAGAATGTAATCCCTAATGGATTGGAAAACAGGAAAAGAAACAGACGAAGAGTACAGAACAAAGAAGAAAGAATATAAGGATACATGCAAACGTAAAAAAGATGAATTACAAAAAGAAGAAATAAGAGAAATACAAAGCATCAAAAACGAAAATGAAGTGTGGAAATTTATAACTAAAGGGAGGAAAAATAAAGAAAGAGAACCGGACGACATTGGAGAAGAAGAAGGGAAAAATTACTTTATACAAAGTTTAGACGGACAAATAAGCTTCAGAGGGGAAAAAACAAAAAGAAGAAGTGAAAAAGAGGATGAAGGAATAGGGGAAATAGAAATGGAAGCAAATATAAGCAAAGATGAAAAAAAGAAAGCTCCTGGACCAGACCAAATACCAAATGAGATGATAAAACATGCGCCGGAAAAATCAGAAAAATTATTAACAGGGTATGGATGAGGAGGAGGATTTCCGGAAAGTTGGAAAGAAGGAGAAATATGCCCAACATACAAAAAGGAAACAAAGATGACATAAAAAACTGTAGGGGAATCACACTCCTAAACTCAACATACAAGCTTTACGCTAAAATACTAAACAATTGCTTAAATGAAGAAGTAGAGGACAAAGAAATAGTAGATGAAACACAAAAGGGTTTTAGGAAGGGAAGGGGGACGATAGACAACATACACATAATAAATCACGCAGTACAACAAGAACTGGAAATGAAAGGAGGTAAAGTCTACGCCCTACTCATAGATCTAAAAGCAGCATTCGATAATCTAGACAGGAACGAATTATATAAGAGCTTGGAAAAGAAAAATATCGACAGCAACACAATAGAAAGGATTAAAGAAATCTATAGAGAAACAAAGAGTAAAGTTAAAGTCAATAACAAACACACAGACTAAAATTAATGGAGTCAGACAAGGATGTCCGCTAAGTGTAACCCTTTTCAACATTCACGTGGGAGACCTGGAAGAAGCATTAAGAAGATGGCAAGCAGGAGGAATAAAAATTTGAGGACAAAAGATATGGTCATTAACATACGCGGACGACATGGTGCTCCTTGCAACAAAGCAATTAGAAATGAAGGAAATGATCACACAGTTAGAAAGGTACGCAAGAAGAAAGAAATTCATAATAAACACAGAAAAATAAAAAATAATGGTTTTTACAAAAGAAAGAAAGAAGAATAAGGACGAGACATCGTGGGAAATCGAAGGAAGAGAAATAGAAGAAGTTTCGGAATTTAAATACCTTGGGTACACACTAATTAAAAATGGAGGACCAAGTGCTCACATATGACAATTAACGAAAAAAGCAAATAGATTAATACCGCAGATATGGAGCGCAGCAGAAAGAAAATTCAAAAACAACTATAGAATCAAGAAAATGATGTTCGACTACCTGATCAAAAGCAGTGATGTACGGGGCAGAAATATGGAGGTTGAAGGAGATAGAGGACATCTAGCGGATACAAAACAAATACCTAAAATGGATCCTAGGATTGGCAAGAGATACCCCAACTTACATACTTCTGGAGGAAGCCAAACAAAATAAGATGAGGCGGGATATAGAGCGGTTAAATACGAAAAAAGGATAGAAAGAGGAGAAAACGGGTCACTAAAAGAAACTCTCAAGGAGAGAAAGTTTGATGGCCGTCTGGCACACGTTCAAGGTATAGGCTACCTACTGCAAAAAATTCCAGGACTCTAGGACCTAGAAGTAGTTCGAAACGGCAGACGTGGGTCCGGACGGACGGACAAAACGCAAGCAATAGCACATTTCTTTTAATTCTTAAAAAATGCGCTCAAAAACAAGACGTGTGTAATATTTGCTCTTCCAAGAAACAGGTATTGTTGGTTAAATAAGGTGGCAATAAAAAAATTGTCTTATCCAACATTTTTATTGCTCTATTCTTGGTATGAAGGTGACGTTATCAAATTGTTACTCGTGGAGGTATACAAATAAGTTGGCTCAATTTGAGAGTATAAAAGTGAAACAACAGCTTCCGAATGTTAGTGTTAAGAACCAAAATGAAATCGTTCGTAGCAATCCTATTCGTAGCAGTACTCTTCTCTACGGCTCGTGCAGAAGGTAAGGAATTCAACTGAAGCTTTGAATAATTTTATATTCAAAGACTGAAGTTAATATACTATATGAATTGTTATTCTTCTAGATCGCAGCCTTCAAGGGAGAGATGCTATTTCTGATGCAACTGCGGCGCTTTTAAACGTGGTAAAAGCCTGCGCGTTGGATAAAATACCTCCTTTAATAGAAAAGGGTGACGGTGTTCTTTTTGGCGTTTTGAGTTTGTTATTTGGATGTGGTCTTCCTGGAATTTTAAAACCCGTAAGTGATGTGGTGAAGTGCATATTGACCAAGCTTGGCGGTGTGTTGTCGGACGTTACTAGTACATTACTGTTAGCTGTCATCCCTATTGTGGCGGTTGAAGACGTTGTAAATTGTGTTAAGACCTCTTCTACTGGTGTGTGCACAGCTTTCCGGGCTGCACTTGCTTCAGTGCCAGTAGTAGGAGACCTACTAAAAGCCCTACTCGTATTTTGCCCACAATAAATCGCCTAAAACTTGTACTTCAGTGCCCGAACCGCCTTTATTATGTCAAAAAAATACAACTACTAGCAAATAAATCTTAGCAATTCATACAGTGTGTTTTTTACTTCAATTGGGATGTCATCGAAGAAATTGATTTATATTTATCTACATGAGTGTGTACCAATTGAATGGGTACCATGTGAAAGAAGATGAGGGGTATAGCTCTACTTGCTATTTGCTACAGTTTCTAAAAGAACGACGCAAAAAAGTCGGAGAGTATATTCTTTACAGAAGGTTTTTCTAACCTGCCTTAAATCCTTCCAAAATGTTATTATTAACCCAAAATTACGCTTTACATCTTTCCGAATTCTCGGAATGTTTTCCAAATCGAAATTTCTCGAGATATCTTCACTCCTCAACAAAGGAGCACAGACATCGTCGTATGCCCATATATTCTACCCTCACGCAGAAGGTTTCCTGTTGGAGCTTCGGACATGTCTTGCTGTCATGACCATCTGAGTAGTGACAGCATTGATCTTCACTACGGCGATCGTAAGAGTTATGGCCGAATTTTTAGCACTTAAAGCACCGCACGATCCGGATATGGACTTGTAGCTGTACGGCAGGAATTCCACCTGACGTATACACGACGGCTAGCCAAAAGATGCTTGCGTAAGGAACCGTCGCATTCAATCATCCAGTTTTGCGGCGTTTCATGGGAGCTGTCTTTGTCCCGTCGGCTGTCTTTATGACATCGGTGGATTTAGGTACCACGATGAAGGTGAAACAGGCACTACAGACTTTCCCGAAGGAATTTTCACACGATCGAGTACTGCTGCTCCAGCGGCGTAACTCATGGGAGCTGGAGTAGGAAGGGACGCCTTAGACACCAAGGCATCAAAGGAGGAGTGCATACACTTCACCGTCTCGGTGAAATGTGCACGTTAGCGGACAATTTTGAATTCGACAACCATCTCACTAAAGATGGTTTCGATACGTGGTAAGGGTTCTGGCACTTCGGATTGTTTAGAAACTGGGGGGTCTATATTAGTTCCTCAAGACTTAGGGTTTTGGCATCAAAGGCAAGTTCAGAGAGGCCGGATAACGACCTATCATCGGTAGGAGTGTCAGAGCTCTGTCCGACGTCACTTGGGAAGGCTCTCCTCTACCGCCATGGTGACAGAGGAGCGGGAGGGTGATGTTGGTCGCGACAGGGTGACTATGCCACCTGCTGCAAACACTACTGAGACGCGCGCACACACACAGGAAACTTACTACTGCTAGGGAGACTTATTCTCTGTGCTTCGTGGTTTCGAAAAGTATAACCACTGCGATTGGGTGATTCTTGCGCACGAGGAGCCGAAATCAGTACGTAACCTGCATCCACAAAGTTATATGCCAGCACCCCTAATCACGTACACGCCACTGGAGGGATCCCATTCCACATTGATAAATCTAGAAGAACCTCTAAGTTGCACTTTTCTCGCATCTAATCTTTTTTCGCCAAATGTTATATAAGTGTGATAAATAACGGTGTTCCGCATAATTGCCCTTTTTCCATACTTTATCTTTTGAAATCATTGTTAATCATATTTAGATATTTTACGAAAACTGTTAAATAAGTATAGTTATCAAACTTTATCTTTTTATTCCAATAATTATCTCTTAAATAGTATATAAGCAGATAAGCTTACCTATTTGAAGGAAGAGAACTTTTTTCTAAGCTTCAGTTGTTACCTGCGTTGCTTCATCAATAGGTAAACGTATTAAAGCAAATGAGTAATTAATTCGGAGTTGGAAGAACGTCAACACGTAATTACAATACGAAATAGTCCGTTTTACGTTGGGACATATCGTTTGTGCAAATGTGCCGGGTGACCCAATAAGACTGTTCCTCGGCCATATCTCGGGAACCGTTCGTCATATGGCTTAGGGGTAAAAAAATTATTGGGTAAATCGGTCATGAAGAATCGCTGGAAAATATTTTCAAGTTCTAAAAATGACCAACAGAGGGCGTAACTGCCATCTTAAATTTTAAAATTGCATTTTCTTTAAATTTCGCATAATAAACTAAAAAATTTGTTCACATTTTTAAAGAAAACCAGTTTATCTATCATTTTCGTAAAAATAAAAACTCAGTTATTTCAAAAACAAAGATGGTGTGGGGCGTTCAATTGTTTTTGCAATAACCTGCTTTAACTTCCTAACCGTTAGAGCGATTTTAACAAATTTGATATGGTTGAAAAGAGCATTCCTTGGGCAATGAGAATCAACCAAAAAATAGTTAATTTATTTGAATTCTTCTCCGCCAGGGGGCTATGACGCAAAATCCTAAAAAAATCAAATGGAATGATATGACTTTTTCTTTATGAAAAAGAAGCCAAATAACATCCAAAGAGGCCAGTGAAAACCGTTTTTCAAAATCTCGTTCCTAACCTAAAATATTGGGAAAATGAGATTAATTAATTAAAATGCTTAAATTGTATCTTAATTTACTTTTTACGTATTTCCGGTATTTGTTGATGGCGCGAATGAAAAGCACCCTACACTTTTAGGTAGGCCTTGGAAAATTAAACAAATGGAACACGATGCATTACAATAGTTATTTATGTAAGGGCATAATAGTGATGTTTATATTCTCGAGGGCGACAAGTTAAAAAGCTCGAGGGCCTATGGCCCGAGAGCTTTTTAGTCGCCCAAGAGTATAAACATCAGCTTATGCCCGTGGTACATACAAAATTTTATGTTTTACAAATAGTTTTCTTCGTCAAAGTAAATATTCGTTTACAAAATAATTCATTATGTTTGATTAAGTATGCATGGTTCGAATTTGTTAATGTGATTGAAACCATCCAAACGTCAAACGTAATTTTACATAATTCAATTCATCGTGAATGAGCAAGAAGTTCCAGAAACTATACGAAATAAGGCCAATCTTGTGATTTAGTAGGTATTGACAATTAATAATTGACGTTTCTATTTTTCAATGACCTGCAAATATTTGTTAGTTTTGTCATTAAGTATGAATGAGTTACTATGGTGATACTTAATGCCCTATGCCCGCGTATCACAGATATAAAATGTGCTATGATAGGTTAGTAAGACATAATAGTTATTTGTTTCATTAGTACAAAAAATGTCAGTTTTCGGGACGAGGAAGATAGTTGCTGGACGACGCGTTAGCGGAGTCCAGCAACCTTCCGAGTCCCGAAAACGCATTTTTTGTACGAATAAAACATAAAATTTTTTCTCCAACCCCTTTACTTCAAATTATATTCGAATTTAGATTCAGTCACAGTTTCACTACTAGTATAAGAACTTCTGCTTTCTTGTCCTCACGTGTCATGCCACTCTAGTTTTCAGGTTAACTTATAACCTATTCGTTCTGACTTCTTACTTCTCACCTCTCGCGACTTTGTAGGGAGCAAATCTTGAGGTAGCATGTTCTGCCGTTTCTATAATCTCTGGCGGAGTGCAATCCATGTCGCTATCAGTTTCAGTCATTTTATTGTATACACAATTAATATTGTTATATTTTGTATTGAAATAAAAAACTTACCATACAGTTTTTTAATTAAAATTAATTGCAATTAACTTTTTCAAATTTTGAATTCAAAATGACAGATAATAGTGCAAGGGGTCTGAAGTAGATGGCGTTACGCGCGACGGCGGGTTGTATACGTATTAAAATTACGTTCATCGAATATGTAAATTACGTTACACATGGTTTAAATAAAAATAGCCAGCGTAAATCATTTTCAATACATGTACATACGTATAGGTGACATCATTATTTGCATTTATATGCAAAAAGATTTGATTTGTATGTATAGAAATATCTTATAACCTGCAATGTAAAACGATGTCAATGTGACATATCTCCGTGATTGTAATTTTTTAATTGGCCAACTTTCAAGGTCAATTTCTTTTTGGTACTAGGACCAAAAGTATCTACTTTTTGTACAGTTGCCATGGTGAAAACGATTAATCCGCAAAACGTCAATTTTACGTACCGAACACTGTCACAAAATAGCGTCTTATTCAGGTGGTTGGAGAAAAAATATATTTTGAGTATCCCTGCCCGCATCTTCTATTTGCGTTATCCGAATCGACCACGAACCATCGCCGTCAGCATATTAAATGCTTCTTGGTTAGAAATCGGCATTCTAGAAAAGATTACAAATTCAAAAAACTGCACTTTTTGAATGTAAACACAGCAGAATAATTTACAAATTACGGCTGTTATTATTTTATAATGCATCGTGTTTCACTTGTTTATTTTTCCAAGGCCTACCTAAAAGTGTAGGGTCCTTTTCCAAACAATCTTTCGCGCCATCGACAAATACCGGAAATACGTAAATTAAGATACAATTTAAGCATTTTAATTAATTAATTAATTAATCTCATTTTCCCAATATTTGAGGTTAGGAACGAGATTTTGAAAAACGGTTTTCACTGGCCTCTTTGGATGTTATTTGGCTTCTTTTTCATAAAGAAAAAGTCATATCATTCCATTTGATTTTTTTGATTTTTTTAGGATTTTGTGTCATAGCCCCATGGCGGAGAAGAATTCAAATAAATTAACTATTTTTTGGTTGATTCTCATTGCCCAAGGAATGCTCTTTTCAACCATATCAAATTTGTTAAAATCGCTCTAACGGTTAGGAAGTTAAAGCAGGTTATTGCAAAAACAATTGAACGCCCCACACCATCTTTGTTTTTGAAATAACTGAGTTTTTATTTTTACGAAAATGATAGATAAACTGGTTTTCTTTAAAAATGTGAAAAAATTTTTTAGTTTATTATGCGAAATTTAAAGAAAATGCAATTTTGAAATTTAAGATGGCAGTTACGCCCTCTGTTGGTCATTTTTAGAACTTGAAAATATTTTCCAGCGATTTTTCATGACCGATTTACCCAATAATTTTTTTACCCCTAAGTCATATGACGAACGGTTCTCGAGATATGGCCGAGGAACAATCTTATTGGGTCACCCGGTGCTTTCAAACGAAAAATCAATCTCGCAAAAGTCGATTTTGGATCCCTTATTGACTAATGGACGTCATCATCCGAACTTTTATTGTAGCTGTACCAGT